AAGAGGAGCCAGAGGGGGGGGGGGGAGACGGGGCTGGCCGGGAGAGATGGCGGGGCCAATGGGAAGCAGGGCAGAGGAGGAGGGTCGGGTGGAATGGGGCTGGCCGTGGGATATCGGGGAGAGGGGGGGCAAGCAGGGGCGGAGGTGGCCAGGGGAGCTCAGGAAGAAGAGGAGGAGGGGAGAATTGGCCGATGGAAGCAGGGCTGGTGGGGAGTGCAGTGGGGCTGGCAGGGGAAGATGCTGACCAGGAACCGGCCCGGGGGGGGGAGAGCCGGGGGGGGGGGGAACCTGGGGGCGGGAGACGGGACTGGCCAGGAAAGACGGGGAGAAGTCGTGGAGAATCAACCAACCGGCCAGCCAGGAGGGGATGAGGGAGCGAATCAGCCAGCAAGGAGCAGGACTGACCCGGGCTGTGCAGATCTCAGGGCGCTGTCATCCTGCATGAGTCAGTCCAGCTGCGGCTCCACCACGCGCTTGACCAGCACACAGGAGTATGGACCGGGATGCCCCTCAGCTTTCTCACACGCAACCAGGGCTCCCAACGCTGATCGCGCCCCACCTCCCAGTCACTCTCCGCACCCCCGCCAGGCTTCTGTTTGGTGCCCAGCTGGAAAACCAGGAATTACCGGACATTGCACATGTCTGGTATTTTCTGGATTTTTTTTACGGGGGAGAGGGCCCAAAAATCAGACTGTCCGGTAGAAAACTGGACACCTGGCAGCCCTAGCTTGCCACTTCTGACTCTGACCCCATCAGCTGAAACAGCCACAACACTCACCTTCCAGGTCCAGCAAGAAGGGGAGTGCTGCTATGCAACTCTGGAAAGGAGGGGAATGGGCTTAGAATTTACAGGTGCATACCTTATAGAGAACCCTGGTGAGGAGCAGGGACTGCTTTTGTCTTACTCATCAATATCTCTGTATTTTATCTTTATTGAGTTAATGACCTCGTTTCTTGTGCACTTCTGTCTATGGTACACAGGAGAGCTGAATGCATGGTGGCACTCAGAAGAGGATAATAAATATTGATATTTTTTTTTATGTTTGTGGAGAAGGTAGCAATGTGTAATAAAGATTATTCAAGAGAGTTGTGCATTTTTATATATTTTAAACTGTCATATAAAAAAATTCTTAATTTGTTGTAAAAGCACAGTAATGTAGCTTTTAATAATGTTGGTGGATTTAAGTACAGTACTCTGCTGGAAAGATGCACCCTCATACAAAGTTTATCTTTCAGGGAAATTATTAAATAACACTGAATAAACTTTTATTGGAAGCCTAATTTTAAAACAAAAACAAATCTATTAATAGTCATTGAAGATATCTAAATTTAAGCCATACAAGCTTGTGGTAAACAGAACGCGTTACCTTTAATTGAAAATCTGCTGCAATTCTAATTCAGTAAAGGTCATGTTTATTGTGAAAACATAGTTTTTATTTTCAAGCAATAGTAAACTAAATTGTCAAACTAGTTCAGTCAATAAGACTAGCTTTAAAATATAGCACATAGTTAATATATAAAATCATCTGTGTCTCTTCAAATCTACTATATATTTTTGAGAGAGTCTGTCTGTCTCCATCTGTCTATTCAAGAACTCCTCCTAAACCGTAAGAGCTTGGGCCACCAAATTCAGAATACAGCTTCCTCTTATAACTTAAAGCAAGGTCAGGATTTCGGTTGTGCCAGAAAATGGGATGTGCCTGGAATGGGATTGCTTCTCAGATTCATCAGGCAAATCAAGGGGGCTGGTTGGGGGCACTCTACCCCCTAGTTCAGGACTGCCTCGGTACTGAGCCTCCCACCCTCCAGGCGCTCTTTAGTGAGCGCAGGTCTGAAGTCACTCCATCTCCCTCCGTCCCTCCAAATAGTGTGGAAACACTGCTGGCTATTCACCTTCATCAGGGACCGAGGGGAAAATGCACAGTTTGCTGTGTTCCTCACTCCAGTTGGGGAGTGCAGGGTCCCTTGTATTCCTTTTCAATACTCAATTCTACAGTGATGGCTGTGAGCAATTTTCAACTATTAATGTTTAGTAGAGGGCACTTAGACTGTTGAAACATCAAAAAAGGTTTTATTCTCCTGTGCCCTTTATATGTTTTATATTAAAGGATATGTCTAGGCTATGGGGAAGATTCGAAAGAGGATATGCAAATTCCTGTGGAATTTGCATATCCTCTAGATGAGCCCTTAAAGTGTAAGCACATTGTGTGCGTTTTGGAAAATAGCTAATAGTATGTGGGAGCTGCTGCTATATGAAAAGCTACTGCTTTATGTAACTTATCACAGTAACTTCCATTATGAAAAATATGGTGGCATTTTTATTTCAGAGATTGAAAGCTGCCTTGACCCAACAGCATCCTCAGGTCACAAATGGAGATACTGCCAAGGGACATGCTAGTGGATTGATTAGGACTCAGTCAGAGGAAACCCGACCACAGTCATTACAACAGCCTGCTACATCAACTACAGAAACACCGGTATGACAACAAAATCAAGATGTATTTCTAACTTCTTTCACTATTGTGCAAAAATCTCTTGTGCTCATTACTTTATTTTATATCTTGAAAGTAAGATTGCAGCACACCTCAATGAACCAATATTGGTGGAGAAATAGTGAAGTGGTCTTACATACTTAGTCATTCGATGATGCTAAGGTTGATTTTTGTAGCACACTGTCTTAAATGCTGTGGTAATCTGAAAATTATGCAGCAAAAGTTAAAATATATGTGGAAAATATCAACAAAACTTGGGTTACCATGTATTATATTCGTTTAATATTAAATATCATAAAAAACCTTTTAAAATATTTCCAATCATTTCAAATTTCCTGCATAAGGTACCATTTGTTTCAAAGAACCATTATTGACAAAAAAAAGAGTAACTCAGCTGCATAATTTAGTTAGTTTACTGTGCTCTCCTGGGTGTTGTGAAAATGGTGATGTTGGAAGTGCTGGTCTAGATAATTACAGGCAGTCCCCGGGTTACGTACAAGATAGGGACTGTAGGTTTGTTCTTAAGTTGAATCTGTATGTAAGTCGGAACTGGCGTCCAGATTCAGCTGCTGCTGAAACTGACCGCCAGTTCTGAT